AACAACGTTGATTCCAATAGTCAAAATCAAATGCTTCTCCTGAATTACAATCTTTATATTATTGTTGACAATGTCTACTTATCGGAATCAATTATTTTGCTGAATAAGAAACAGTTTAGAAAAATAATTACTTTCTTAGAATCCTAGCAGTTACTTAACTTTTGAGAGTATAAAACAGTTTTGGTAAAGATCATGCGCTAGATCATAAGATTATCCGGATATCGGATATCCGATAGGGATAATTATCAGGTCGAATATTTTTCCGGATATCTAGTACAAATTCCTTAAAATTTAAAAAAAAAGAAAGAGTGAAAAAAAAGAGGAAAGTTGATCTGTGCAAGAATTTCAGCTAAAAGAATAAAATTCTGCATGCAATAACGTAAACTTTCAATATAAAATTTCAGATATATATTGCCATATATTAATTATATATTCGGCTATCTGATTGGATAATAAAAAAAAATACCGACTAATACCAGATATTTTTCGAATATCTCGTGCATATCTAGTTTTGGGCATGGATTTTTAAGCCTATTTTCTCCTTTTCAAATTGATTTACATTGAATATTGTTGTATAGTCATTTTTTTTTTATCTATACTATATAATCCAGAAATGGATCGTTAACCAATTGATTAACCAGCGAGGAATTGGTAGAAAGATTCGATTACATCGATCGATTGATCGAAACATTCGTTTAGTTGTATGCAAATCATACTTTACTTAATATCTGTTAGTATCCACTAAATTGCATAACATCATTAGGAAATTGAACGTGTTGCTCGTTTCATTGATAAATAAAAGTTATCAAGTCGAAATTGTGCAAGTCTCTTTACAATGTGTACGCTCGGTCCACGATGATAAAATTTGATAATTTTTTTACATAACAATTTTAACCGATGTTTCTTTTTTAAATTCATAAAGTATAGTATATCAGAAATAAATCTTTTCAACATTTTCTATACTTTTTCTCAATTAAAACATAAATCTAAATCACCACGTTCAAATACTGAGAATGTTACTTTTTAAATGATGACATTTATTGAAATCGGACACGACCTTTTGCGCATGCATATCCAATACAATTTAATATAAATATGAATATAAATATTTAAAAAAGTTAGAAATGTACATATCAATAAAAGCACATTGTTATAATTTGCATATGCAAAAGCTTCGATAAAAATATAACCTAAGAGAATGATAAATAATTTATTAATACAAAAATTTAAAAAGAATGTCATAAATAATTTATTAAATAATTAAATAAAAATAATT